GGCATTGTGAAATACTTTGTTTTCTATAGCTGGTTATGAGAATCATATAATGTTGTGCAGCCGCTATTGCGGCCACACAATTTTGGATTTCTGCAAAGAGTCAGATAATTTAGAGACTGGTTTCTGTGCATCTGGTGTTATGGCTGTGCCATAGATCTGCTTATGGGGGCTAACTCAGGATCTAGGTAGGGCGTGAAGGAGACGAGCCGGCACCACCCCGCTTCTGCTGAGACTACAGTTGCCCCATCACCACTGGCTCATACCCGGCTTTCCAATAAGCTCTGAGGAGGCGGCCGCCTTGCTGCCAGGGGGAGAAAGGCAGAAGGGAGCAACACCCTTTCCGTCCCACGGAGGCATGGCACCGTAGTTTAACGCATGGTCCATTCACTTTTCTGCCACAAGGTGCCGGGCTCTGGATTAAGTACTTTTGCCTCTGGAGCCATGGCCGTGTATGCGGTCCAGATGCATTTATGCCAAAAGCTGCTGGGTTTCAATATTTGTTTCTGAATCTCTGGGATCATGGCCATTAATCAGCTTGATCAGGTTCAAGAGAGGCCGTTTGTAGGCGGCGACTCGAGGTCTCGCTGAGATGGGGAGAAATGGGCCGGTTCCACCCCCATCTGGTGAGGCCACCTGTGTCTCAACACTGCAGGCCCAAACCTGATTGTCCTGTGGCCTCTGCAGGATGACGGTCACCAGGCCGCCAAGGGGAACAGGCCAAGGCACGAAACCTATTCCCACCTGGAGTGGCCCAGCGCCAGTAACCTACTGCAGGAACAGGACATATTTCTGCCAAAAGCTTTTGTTTTCCGAAACTCGTTTCTGAGCCTCTGGGATCATGGCTGTTAAGCAGTTCAATCAGGAACCAGAGAGGCCATGCCTCCAATTATATAGCTGAGCCGGAGGTGGTTTGTGGGTGTGTCTCCAACATACTAATTTTGGCCATTTATTTTCTTAGTAAACTTTGCCCCAAGTTTTTGGGGTCTGGCCAAAGGCACAGCAGCAATTTTCGGGTATCTGAAAGCCTGACGGTGCCATCAGGTTGCTGATGCACTCACCTCACAGGTACAGATTTACCTGTTGGCAGCACCATACCCCCATCAACTCCATTGTTAGCTCTCATTTGACTCATTTAAGATGGGAGATGGGATTGGGGGGGTGGCAGATGTGTCTGTTCAGCTGCAAGGTCACCAAAGCCAGTTTTCTGCTATTTTGATCTGAACCTGGTCTGAAACTTCTGCAAGAAAACCGGGTATCTTTAAAACTTTTATGAAGGCACAATGCTGTGGCTTCAGACTATCAGGCTGACATCTGAGATTAACTCATTATAACACTTTGCTAAGTAGCTCTAGAAATTTGAGTTACCAAAAGTCTCAAAGATCAAATAAAACATTGATAGGATACGTTTTGCAACCAATTTTATAACTCTAGAAACTCATGGTTTTAGACCAAACCATTACACTCTGAACCCGTTTTTAGGTACCACAATTATTTCAATTATCATTCTAACAATCCAATGAAGATGCAAGCAAATATATATATATTGACATAACATCATAATAAAACACTTGAACTGCCAATGTTCATTAAAAAAGAGAGAGAGCTTTGTTTTAATGGCTTCTGTACCTCTGTTGTTTGTAAGAACAGCCTAATTTTTCATTAAGATTAGTAGAGGTTTGTAAGATAAAGCCTTGCATTCTCTGAACTCCAATTTAACTTTAGTTTCAGGCTCTAGTTCTGCAGCTCTTTCCTAGATCGTAAGATTCCAAAGATCAAAAAAATTTTCAGTTGTTAATAACCATTAATGTTTTTCCGCAAGAAATTAGATTGAGAATATCAAATTCTCTGTCCAAAAAGGAACAAAACAAAACACCGAAACCTTTTAAATTATTGGGTTGTTGCATATCATTCTGACCTCTTGTGATGATGCTTCTTGCCCAAGTTTAATGATTTCTACTTCTGATTTACACAGACAGACAGACAATGGACTGACTACAAACACCACATGCACATATGCACATATTTACAGTTGATCCATTGATCTGACTCTTCAAGAAAGGACTTACTGTCTTTATTTGACTTAATTTTAAAAGGTCTTAATTATCACAAATCCTAAGATTTTTACACCAGATCCTTTAACAATTTCACAATTCAAAAATGATTTCAGACACGGAAAGAGGCCATTGCTACTCAACAACCTTTAAATAGCAGCATAAGAGAGCATTTGAATGGTCAATGTTTATGAAAGCATGAGATGTAACCTAATTTCTATCTATCTCCTCACTGTTTTGCAACACGCTTGTTTTTAACCAGGCAGGGGTCTCTCAACCAGTTCCTGTCAGACCAGAATATAAGGGATCTGGTCCCGGTATCCTCCTGGTACTGGAAAGAAACTTATACCTTTAGCTTTTTAGAACGGCCCCCAGCTCAAAAGTACCTTAAGTGGGTCAGCCAATGTTGAAGGCTGCAGAACAAGCCAATTCTGCAAAACAAAATGTTTTATGTTTATTCTTTTTAACCTCCATGGGCTGATTAGGACCTCTGTTTTTAAAATTCGAGAAATGATCAATAAAAATAGACTGGGGTGGGGCTGGAGCAATAGCACAGCGGGTAGGGCGTTTGCCTTGCACGCAGCCGACCTAGATTCGATTCCCAGAATTTCATAGGGTCCCCTGAGCAACGCCAGGAGTAATTCCTGGGTGCATAAACCAGGAGTAACTCCTGTGCATCGCCGGGTGTGACCCAAACAGGAGAGAGAGAGAGAGAGAGAGAGAGAGAGAGAGAGAGAGAGAGAGAGAGAGACTGGAGTGTTGTCTGTCCCTGGTCATGTTCCTAGGGAGGAAGTGAGTGATTAATGGTCTGAAAACAGAACTGAGACACAGACTCAAGACATATGCAGGTACTCAAATATGCCACGAAGAAGATAGACAAATATCTGCCACTAGTCCTCAATGCACTGTATCTAACCCCACTCCTCGGGTGGTCTGTCTGTGACCAAGCTTATTGAATGGCGTCCACCGTACTGGGGTTTCTGGGAAATGGTGGTGGGCACTGGGGAGGTCTCCCACAATGCCCAACTGGCAATTTCTTCCTATGCTGGTCCTCTGTACTCGGGCCCTTCCTCCGACCCGCCTGTCAGACACTCAGATGGTCAGTCTGACAAACCACCCTTCATCCACCTCTCCCTGAGATGATCTTCCTCAGCAGCCTCTCCCCAAGGTGACTGTCACACAGCCACCTCTCCCTGCGATGACCTTCACTTAGCTGTTCCTTCCAGGGCAACCTACCCAGTGAAAACTCCGAGATTCCCCACGGTGATGATCAGCAAGAAGAGTGGGGGCCACATCGTGATCTGGGGGTCACAGCACGAGCCAAAATCCCGGAGGACGAGCCTCCATATGTTATGTCCCGGGAAGGGAGTTTCTCCTTCACATTGACCAGACCAGATGCAAGGATGCAAAGGCAAGGCCCCTTTATCACTAACTCGAGCTAGGGTCCAAGTCTCATCCAACACAGTGGAGTGTTGACAAGGACCCAGACTCTGAATTCTGAGCAGTTTATATAGGGTTTGGGTACATAACAGCATTTTTCTAGGAATTAGCAGTACATTTTCAATCCTGGTCCCTGTCCAGTCCCGTGACTCCACTCCTAGGCCCTCTCTATTTGGCTGGGCACCACTGCCCATACTCCCTACTCTGATAGGCTATTGCCACGGGGCTGTTTATCTGCCCAGTGTGATATTGTTTCCTGAGAAGTCAGAATTTTCTGATATGGGAAACTGAAACTTATGCCTGCTGAGTTTTGGTCTTAAAGTGGAGCCTATCATGGCTCCTCTTCAGTCTCACACCATCCCCACCATCTTATACAGTCTCCAAAATACTATTCAGTGTCATTCTTGAGCACAGAGCCAGGTATAAGCCTTGAGCAACCCTGAATGTGACAACCCTCTTCCCCAAAGGAAAACAAAACAAGAAAAAGATGTTGCTTTCCCCCAGCCACACTAAACGGTGGGATGGGCACCCGGAATGCCCATGTGCCCCAGATTACTGAGGTCAGAGTCGACTGAGAATAGAGCCAGAACCAAAATAAGGAAAGTTCCTGCTTTACCCCCACACTTGGGGCTCCCAGATCTAGTAAAATCTGATGGCCGTTTTCTAGCCTTACTGGGGCATTTTCAGTCGCTATAATGACGAGAGCTCAGCCCCAGCCCCTGGAAAGGCCTTTCTGAGAGTCCAGGCAGGGGCCTCGGGTGGAGTTTGGGAGCATCTCACGGCTGAGGGGTCCTTCCCCAGGGACTCCCCCATCAGAGACAGTCCTGCTCTGCACCTCCTGGGTGTCTCTGTGCTTTCCATTGGTCCTCACCTGGGATCAGGACTCTCATGGCTGCCTGGCCCATCCCCAGGTCATTGGAGACGCGGCAGATGAAGGTCGTGTTGATGGTCTCCTCAGTGGTGTGGATCAGGAGCCAGGAGCCCTGGGGTACAGCAGACAGGGGCAGAGGACCTGTGCTCCTAGGGGAGACAGGCGGGTGAGAACATGGATTCTGTTGGAGCCCAGAGTGACAGGGACTGAGGAACTCTAGCAACTTGCCTTAACCCAAGTTGGCAGGTACCTGGAGTCCCCCCGACTCTCCCTCTCACACCCCTATTACTGCTCAGTAGGTCCTGGGACTCACCTTCAAAATCCATCCAGAACCTTCCAGTTCTCAGGGCCTGTGTGGCCTCCACTCTGACCCCTGTCCCCTGGCTCATGCTCCCCCCAACGTACACCTGGTAGCCTGAGAGAACTTGATGGAACAGAGCTCCAGACCCTCCTCTGCTCAGTGACCCAGAGAGCTCCTGCCTCAGTGAGAGGAAAGCCTCTCTTTTCCTTCACCTTAGAGTTTGGGCACCCAGAACCTGTCCCCCAATGGTTGGGAGTTAATCCCTAGACTCCCTCCTCAGACATGATTGTCCATCCCCAGCCTCCCCTCTCAGGCATGGATCAACCCCAGGACTCACGTGCTCCAGTCATAACTCTTGGGCTCTGGGTTGCTGCGGGCGTCACAGGTCAGTTTGGTCTCCCTGCGGCTCTGCTGCCCAATGTCATCATAAAGGGCGATGGAGACCTGGGGGGAGTCTGCTGGGGGGACAGGGACAGACACAAGGACAGGAGCCCTGAGGGGCCAACACTTGAAAAGAAGAGCCCCTCCCACAATTCACACAGGCAACATGAGGGGCAGCTGAGTCTGGGCAACATGACATGACCCTGAGTCATTCGGGATGTCTTGGAAAGGGTCAGGGTCTTGTTCTCACTTTAGTGACCTGGGGGCAGATGCCAAATGCTCTCATGATCTTGAGGCCCATATCCTGTTCTGTAGCATCACACTCTTGGGAATTTCTGCTCTGCTCCCTCCTGCCAGTGCCAGCATGTGGGGTGCTGCAGGGGATGATTGAGGGAACAGCTGGGTCTAGGGTGAGCCCCTGAGCCTTGGTCAAAGCAGAGGAGCTCTAGGTGCCCCTCCCCAGGCAGAGCCTTCTTGGCTTCCCAGCAGAGACTCCTCCCTCCCTCCTCTGACAGCCAAATGCAATGTCAGGTCACAAAACAAAACATCCTAAAACAACTGAGCAAGCTAATTGCCAGCCAGCCAGGGAGACTGAGGAACCAGAACACCCTGTTTGACTGCTTGTGGGCTTGTGCCCCCTAAAAGATGTCCATCCATTGTTCTTTCTTTTCTCTTAAGGTATAAGCCTGATTGCATTAGAGTGAGTCTCCTCCTGGCAGAGGCTTCCAGAGCCATGTCTTGTCTTTGTCTGTCTTGCCTTTCCATATGACTCTGCCTCCTCATTCTCCCCTTAGGGACTGTCCTCCTTCTCTGTCCAGTGCACAATGGGTGGGGTTGGGTGGACTGACATGGACAGCTCTCTTGCCAATTCCGTGGACACAACGTGTCAGTATGACAGCTGCAAATGCAGCAGAGCATGTCCTGGCATTTGGGAAAGACAGGCTGTGAGGGGTGTAGATGACAATAGGCTGGACTAGTGCAGAGCATGAGTGTGGATCCTCACTGTCCACACTGCCTGCCTTCTTCTACTCGTGCTGTCCACAAACCCTTAGCACACTGTGACTCCAGAGAACACAAAGATACAGAATTAATGAGTCAGCACAGAGTTGAGCAGGGAATCTGTGGCTCACAACCTAACATGCTCGGGAGGTGTAAAGACGATTAATGCTGGGAACTCGAATCTTCCTCTTCGGATGCTTTCACTGTCTATATTCTCAACTAGTGTGGGGAAGCTGGAATCATCTCTGCTGCTCCTATAGGCAGCGCTGGGGTGGGCGTGGAGACATAAGAACCCCTTGAACAGAAGATCTGGCCTGCAGGTGATCTCTGGGACTGTGTCAGACAATGTTTTTGTGTCAGACCATGCTAGTTGCACACTCCATGGGTGGACACTCAGGATGGGGCCCGATGTGACCCACATCTGTCTTTACTGAGGGCCCTGATCTGGGCTTGCTAATGGAAATGAGACTGAGGGGGGTGGGACCAGGCAGATGGTTTTGGGGGCTGTGTAGACAGTCATGGGGCAGCAGGGAGGCTGTGGGGCAAGTAGGCAACCCGCGAGGAGGCAGTAGAGATGGTATCAGATAGATGGCAGTGAGATCAGTAAAGAGGGGGACAGTGTAGACCCTTCCCCTGTAGGGTCAGTGTAGACAGGGCAAGATATGAAGGGTGTGCATGGAGTCAGGGTCTCATCAGTGAGTGTAGATGAAACAGGGAATAATGAGAAGTCCCCTAGCTTTGGCCAAGACCACTGTGTACACAGTGGATAGTGCAGTGTGGCCCAGTGACCAATGTGGGGAAGTGGTTTTAAACACTTTTGCACCTACAGACCAGTGAAAATAGAAATATTTTACCAATTGCTAAAGAAGAAATTAAAAAACATTATATTTTGTGTATTTGTTCTTAATCTCTTATCATAATAAAACTCTATATTTATTTAACTTAGAAATAAGCAGAAACCAAGCAGTAAACCAAATGCTACTGACAAGTCCTAGTGAATTTTCCTGTGCCCAGCAGAAAATTTCTGTGAATCAGCACCAGTCTGTGGACAGGGTTGGAAAGCGCTAGTGGAGATGCTAGAAAGGGGCGCAGGAATGGGCTAGGAGCTGAGCAGATGGGGGCAGCAGGGTGCCAGAGTGGACAGCCCAGGGCAGAGAGTAGTTGAGGCAGTGTGTGTGGACTCTGCTGAAGGTGCAGGTGTAGACAGTGTGGGAGTTAGTGTAGATGGCAGTTGGGGAGGCAACAGGGAATAGGAGTATCTGTGATGCAAGAAGTTGGAGAGACCCATGGTGGCAGCGGATATGGGTTGTCCCTTCCCGTCTCTCCTGCTTGGGTCCTGGCTATTACACCCACGATCTGCCTCCAGCCACCATCTCAGCGCGTTAGTGGCCTTGATCCAGAGACTCCCGAATGAATCTCAAAATGGATCAGCTCCCTACAGAGATGTCTTTGGAGCCCAACAATTTACAATTTTCGAATTTCAGAAGCATGATGTCGCAAAAGCCGTCACGTGCCTTCTCACAATATTTATAATAAGCAATAGAAAGTAAATTTTCTAGCATCTGCCCCTGGCAGGCTTGAATGGTGGTGGGAAAATTTGAGCAAACCATAATGCTTAAAAGTAGAGAGTATGGGAGAAATTATCTGCCATAGAGGCAGGTGGATAATGTGCACTGAGGGATGGGTGTTTGATCATTGTATGATTGAAACTCAAACATGAAAGCTTCTCAACTATATCTCACAGTGGGTTTATTTAAAAAAAAGTTGGAGGCAGCAGCGAAAGGACAGTAGTGGTGGTGACCCAGGTATAGAAAAGTCTTGATGTAATGGGGGTGTTGTTGGCCCAGGTGTAGACAATGAGGGTGGGTGTGCTGGTGTAGGTGGTGGGGTCATAGCAGTGCTGCTGTCACTATTTTTGAGGCAGGAACTGAGCATGCGCATCTCAGCTCTCAGCCTTTGTCCTGGATAAACTCAGGGCCTTGGGAAAAGTTACTCCAGGTATCCAGCCTGGCTCGAATAACTGCCCCAGCCCAGGCAAAAACCAAACCAACAAATGCTCCCCTCCCCCACCAGCACCCACAAAAGTCACCAAGATCCTCTGCAAGAACTGAACAATCTACTCTCTCCCGACCCACAAGGACCTATGTGCATCTCCAGCCCCACCATTGTTGTTTTACCTCCTTGGGTCTCCTCCCGCCCCTTCATTCTCTGAGTCCTTCCCTCCCCTACCTACCTGCTAAGTCCCACCCCTCCAACAAGCCCCGCCCACTATCACGCCCTACCGGGACCCCTACCCCTTGCACTCACAGAACACACGGAGCCAGGTATGCGCACTCCCCATCTGGGATGTGCTGATGTGGATTTCGCAGGTGTAGTTGGCTTCATCCTCAAGGCTCAGCTTACGAATCGTCAGCGAGGCATCCAGCAGGTCTGCACCCAACCTGGCGGCCTTGAACTCCAAACGGTCGGGCTCCGAGATGCTGGGGCCCCGCTCCCAGTGGAATTCGGCCACAATTCTGGAGTACCCCAGAGGGTTCAGCCGCTTCCACCTGATCTGAGTCACCCACTGCATTTCAGACTCCAGAGGCTGCAGGTGACATGGCAGGATCACGGTGCGGCCCAGTCGGCAACGCCTTTCGATGGGTGCCAGCACGACCACCTTCCTGGCTCCTGTGGGAGAATAGGGAAGTGTAGAGGGGCTATGCTGAGGGGTTGCAGATCCCAGGACCTAGATTATGATGGGGAGAGCCCAGGGAAGTCAACAGGATAGAGAGTGTGCGGTAGAGGGTTAGTTAGCTGGGGCAGGGTGGGTAAGGGGACCACATCCGTGTACTTGGGTGCATGTGACCAGACTTTATATAACCAACTTTCCTACATTTTAAATTATGTAAAAATAATTGCAGTAAAAAAGTTCCATGTGGGGGACCAGAACTAATCCAGAGGGTTGAGTGCTTGCATTGATGCTTGACTGACCCAGGTTCAATTCCCAGCATCCCATATGGTCCCCTGGGCTCACCAAGAGTGATCTCTGAGTAGAGAGCCAGGAGCAACACTTGAGAATTGCTGGATGTTGCGAAAGAAAGAAAGAAAGAAAGAAAGAAAGAAAGAAAGAAAGAAAGAAAGATGTGTGGATGGAGAGATAGACAGTAGAGCAGGGAGGCCACTTTCCTTGCACCTGGCTGACCCAATATTGATGCACATCATTCCATATGGCTCCCTGGGGACTGCCAGGGGTAATTCCTGAGTGTAGAGCCAGTAGTAACCCATGAGTTTTTAGGGTGTTGCTCAAAAACAAACAAACAAGAATTCCAGAGATCAGAGCACTAGTGGGACTAGGGCATTTCCCTTGCAACTGGCTGATTCAACCCCCAGCTTCACATTTGGTCCCTTGAGCACTGCCAGGTATAATGCTTGACTAGAAAGCCAGAAGTAAGCCCTGATTTCCACCAGGTATTGTGACTAAATGACCCAAAGTTAGCAAAAAACACAAGTTACTCAAAAGAAGAACCAAGAAACAGGTTGGACACTGCAGGGATGCAGGGACCCAGGGGCAGGAAACCTTGAGAACAACCTGGGAATAGCCGGTGTGCTCCAGACTTCTTGACTACTCTCTCACCCCACAACGGTATGGCCCAAAACCAGAAATGTAAAATAAGAAAGAAAGAAAGAAAGAAAGAAAGAAAGAAAGAAAGAAAGAAAAAGAGAAGTAGAAAGAGAGCTCTGCTGGGAGGCAGCAGGCTGGTTCCTGGGTCTCTCTGGTCCTTTCCTAGTTAGTTAAAAGGGATGAGCATTCCCGTGTGCTCCCACAGTCAGGGCTGTTCCAGGAGTTCCACCATCTCAGCCCTTAGTCTCCCAGCAGCTCCCTGAGCCAAGATCCCTCCAGCCCATACCTGTTCTTTCCAGAGGCCAGGACACGCCTCACCTTCACTGCACCTCACTTTTGCCGTTTCTCTGACTTCTGGGACTGGGGAGTGTGTCTCTCACACCATCACCCGTGGATTCTGGGGACACGCCCACCAACAGGGCAGTGAGTGCTCACTCCCCCTGTGCTGTTGGGGGCCTGGGTGTAAGAGGA